CCCCAAAACCCCAAAACCCCAAAACCCCTTAAGCTCATAAAAATATTGAATTAAAACTATGAGCATCCATAATATGTCTTACACATGAAGCGATTCCTATGAGCCTGTCCTTAGGAAGAAGAGGCTCCATGAGAAAAAAGCCAAGAAACAGTCCACTAACTGTAACTCCAGGATGCAGATCCTCAAAATAGCTGACAAGATCAAGCAGAGAATTTAGCAGCACTAAAAAGTGTAAGTAATCATCACATCTGATGTCAATAACCTGGTGACCTTATATCCTATGTAGCGACTAAATTACACCAGACCCAGCGGATGACGCCATACAAGGAAGATAGTGAAGAGGATAGCCCCATATCCTACCAGCTCAGTGCTGAAAAAGAGCCCAGATTAAGAAACTCCCGGAATAAACCTAGCCTTGCACACAAAAGCGGAGTGAACAATAGTCTTCGGAACAATTTCCTTAGGAATTCATACAGGATCAACCAGACCTCTGCAGCTTGTACTAAAAAGTAAGCTCGGGAATATTTCCAACCACAGATAGGACCAGGCTCGCCTGGTCCTAACTACACTTGTCTAGCGATATTTCATTGCTAGCTTTCTGAGCATTGCCTTAGACTGACGGCACTGGACCTGAGGACTTAACCTAATACAGATTTATATAGGAAGAGGAACTTAAACACAAGTACTAGTTCAGAAGTCCTTCAGGCTTCGCCATATAAGAATATTCCTTCTAGAAGGAACTTCAACAGCACATTAAAGTCAAGCCTTCTTAGCTTCGAAGCAGATGAAGAAATTCCTGAAGAAAGGGAATTCGTCATCCCTGAGGAAAGAGTTTTTGAAGAAGAGGAAGAACCAGTCCCTATGAAATTGCCTAAGTATGTTCCTGCACCAGCTTTATTTTACTAATGTTGAAAATCTTGGATACTGAAGCTTTGGAAGAGCAGGTTTAAGCCCATTAAGAATTATACTACTATTCCAAAGTTATCTGAAATCTTCACTGGATTTTCGAAAGATTTTCAAGAAACAATTGTCATATGCTAAATTTTTGATATAGACAGTACCAACACAAGTTGAATCACAGTTTGTCATCTCTAGTGGAGCCAAAATTGAACAGAGTTCCAAAGACAAAGTCTATAAAATAAGCCATTGGGGATGAACTCGACATCAAGTTTTGCACAGTCGATCTCCAAGCCATACACCAGGACCAAGGTAGAGAAGCTAAAGAAGTAAGTTTGTAAATTATTCCTTAAAAGTAGGATAATCTTATCATTATCTTTCATAGAACGACCCACTCCTTCTTGAAAGTAAAGACTGAGAAACTAGAAGTTACGAAAAATATCGAAATTTCGCATAAAAAGCCATTTAAATACGTAGAGACTACCAAGCATGTGAAGAGGTCTGTGAATAGCGCTTTAGGTGATAACTACACTCCCTCCACTTACAAAGTGAACAAGAAAAGTTATTACTCGAGTTCTTCAGGTAATGCAAACAAATTGAAGATAGTCTCCCTCTCTGATGCCAGAAAGAAGCGACAGCTACAGCATAATCACAGTGGGGTGAATTTGACTCATCTAAATACCACTGAATCAGATGAAAATGTCAGCTTTGAGATTTTCTCAGGTAAGCTTACATATCCTAACCTTATAGAGCCTAAGACCACCAGATCTAAGATCAGCCTGAAAGGCTTCAGAGATAGTCGGAACCAGCACAAGATGGCTAAACAGAAGTTAGGTTGTGAAGTAAAGCACTCCTATTCTTCATCCTTGTTCGAGTACCAGTAATTCAATATAAAGCAGACATTGAGGGGTTTTGGGGTTTTGGGGTTTTGGGGTTTTGGGG